GGGGAAAAAAAATGTGTGTCTATTTGCTGGTTTTAAATCATCTCTTTTAATTCTTAAAACCCTTCTAAGGAGGTAGTTGTGTTCCCTTTACACACTTGTGGAAACCCAGTCCTGTCGGTGGGAATGTGCCCAGGATGGGATTTCAGTGGAAACAAGCGACAGCCCTCTTGATTCACAAACCCGAGCTCCTGGGGCCATCTCACGTGGCAGGTGTTAACGTGAGTCCACCCCATTCCAGCCTTTGTGGAGACCCTTCGGTGGCCCTGAAACCCAAGCTCTTAGCAACCCTTCGGCAGTTTTATTCTTTCGAGGTGTAGGTCATCCTCTCCCTGCAATCTTGTCTCTATCTTGAGTCGTGTGAAGATGCATTGAATCTGGAATGGCTCTTACTGTATATGGTGGGGCAGCTCTTCTGGTTTCTGGCAGTGTCAGAATTTTGATGGGGCTGAGGTTGGGATGCCTGCTAAGATCCGTGTTTGCTGATTACAGAAGCCAGGAGCAATAGCGACAATTAGCACGGTCAATCAGTATGTACATCTTTCTGGCTTCTTGATTTTCCGGAGTATTTCTCACGTTCCTGTACCTGTTAGGATTATTCCTGGGATATATTGATTTATACTATTAGACTACTCGTGTTTAAAGAAGCAGCAGTTCTGAGCTCTTCCCCTGGAATAACGGCAGCTGGTGTAACCTGGGTCGGTGAGACCAAAATTTCCTTCAGTCTGTGCACTACCGAATCATACGCCAGAGATTGATAAACCAGTTTTTTATTTTTCTATTTATTTAAAAAAAATTTTTTTTAATGTTTATCTTTATTTTTGAGACAGAGAGAGACAGAGCATGAGCAGGGGAGAGGCAGAGAGAGAGGGAGACACAGAATCAGAAGCAGGCTCCAGGCTCTGAGCTGTCAGCACAGAGCCCGACGCGGGGCTCGAACTCACAAACTGCGAGATCATGACCTCAGCCGAAGTCCGACGCTCAACCAACTAAGCCACCCAGGCACCCCGATAAACCAATTTTTTAAAATCTCTTAGCTTTTATGGGCTAAGTGCCTGAAGTCCTATGAAGTACAGCACTATTTGTGGTTCTTTCTTTCCCACATTTTGCCGAGGAAGTGGTTTGTGTAGAATTCTTCACAAAAAACGAATCCTTCGTTTTCAGTCAGTGTGAATAGCTCCAAGATCCGGTGGCCCCAGGGCCTTTCGGATTCGCACACCCTCACTCCTCTCTAGCTACATGGGCCCCGTGGCTCTTCCCCACTGCCAGCATGCACCCCTCACCCCCAGCCGAGGAATTTGTACTCGCTGGTCCGGAGCCTCATCTGGAGTACTCTCCCCCAGTGTGAGTCACAGGGCCACATCCCTGGCTGCCTTCAGGAATCTGTTCACATTTTATCAACGAGTCCTTTCCTCATCAGTTCGCTGGAGATAGCCTTCCTCCTCTCCCTGATGGCCTGGCACTCCCTGCCCCCTGCCTTCCCCCATCTAATATGTTCTAAATATTTCATGTTTCTTATTTTTTAAATCGTTCCCTCCCTGTAAGAGGTAGGGCTTTTCAGTTCTCATTTTCTGTAGAACAGTGCCTTGCATCAGTAGGTGCCAAATAATTGTTGAATGAATGAACGAATGCCATATGCAACTTAGTAAGTTTTAAACTGTTAGCATATTTATGGGAAGAAAATACACTTATTTCCCATTGCTGTCATGTGTACTGGGGTAGCAGGGAATGAAGTAAGCGAATGTTGGGCTAAGGTAACTGTGTCACATAATCAAATTTGCTATGAATGCTTGATTTCAAGCGCTCACCTCACCTTTTATAGCTTCCATTTTGAATGACAATTGTAGGAAAATTTTATGTTTATTAAATGCAGGCACTTTTTTATTTCCTAATTTTTCTGATGTGCCCGATGTGTCTTTTAAGGGAAACAGTTGCTTTTTCAAATTGCGCAGGGGCTGGTGTGGTTACTTGCAACTAGATAGTTACTCGCGGGTGCCACGGCCGTCCTGTCACTCTTGCCAGCGTGGGAATGGACGTGGGTTCTGGTTTGACTGTTAAGTGGAAGGAGAAGACTGCTGGAAGCTTCAGCTTCTGGGAAAGATTTCCTCAAGCCCCAGAGAGGCAGAGCAAGAGGTGGGTCTCTGCTTCTGGACACCCTGGGGTCCGAGAGAGAAGCTTGCCGCGGGGGAAGCCCCGACTGGCGGTGGGAGGGTGAAGCCAGCCAGCGCCCAGAGCAAGCCCGCTCACCCCCGCGCTCCTCCTGAGAGTACATAGTGAATTTCCTCCTCCTCCGAGCCAGTGTGAGTCGTGTTTTGTTGTCTGCAGCCCCAGGAGCGTCAACACTGATGACAGTCATTTCGTAATGTAACTTTGAGTACTTATTTCGGTGCGATCTCCTTGCCATTTGTACCTCACAATAAATCCATTTTGAATACCTTTCCTTCGATTCTGAATTGACGGTATGTGTATTTTTTTCTTGTTTAATATTTTGTTTACTTTCTGCCTTAAAATCTTATATGAGACCTGAAATCTTATATGAGACCTGTATCTGCCACTCATTCGTGGACTAAAATGGATTTGGGTGGCAGTATAATTTCTGGAAACACCAAAATGAAAGCTTGTATGGCTAATTCTTCCATGTGAGTTATCAAAGTAATAATTAGTCTAGAATGTGTGGTGGTGGTGTTGTTTTTAGAAAGTTTTTTAGGGGTCTGGGGAAGGGTATGTGTTAATTTGATCCTCAGCTTTTTTGAAGTTTACAATATTGTTTATTTTTGCAGTGCTTTCACCTCTGGAAAAATAGCTGTGACCAGGTATCGGTAAATTTAGAACTCAACTGCCACTTGGTGCAGAAAAGGAAACTGCACAATATTTTCTCTTGTCATGTGCTTTTGCTTTCTCCTGTGGTTTTACCATTTCAATTTTAGAGACAAATAACTCCAGTTGATGTGGAGAAAGCTGACAATGAGGAGAACCTCATGGCTAAATACTGGCAATGCTAGTAGTTTTCAAACACTTTTCACATCATAAGTTGTTTTCACATGAAACTTCTCAAAATCCAATAAGAATGGGGTTTTCAGGCAGTTTAAGTCTCTGTTGTTTGGTGGGGAAATATCTCCCTGCTTATCGAACCCATGGAGCACGATTTGAAACCCTGCTACCTAGAGGATCAGTGAAGAATGACCCGTGATTTCCCATCCAAAGTGAGATGCTCTTGAGGGCGAGATACTTACACTAGCACAACAGACTAACCTGGGACTGTCCCGGGCAAATTAGGCCCCTGGTTCTGCAGCAGTGGGTTCTAGAGCCCAGATAGGAATCTCCTTGCTGGTAGTAGTAGGAAATTGTTTCGGATCCCCTTTCCCACCTTTCGCTGGTCTAGTGTAGCTGAGGAGCCTTGGTCCCACAGAGGATGTCTGCAGTCATCGGTACCGGCAGAGCAGCCCCACTGTGGGGTGTGTTCAGCCTCTGAGCTGTTCACCAGGCACCTGTTACGTGCCAGGTATGTTCTGAGGTGCTCAGGGTTCCAAGGTAAGTTACAGGATTCTGAAGGTTTACCCTGTTCATTCAGCAGAACTTAGCAACGAGTAATAGTTCCATACCTGTTCCATTTACTGTTGGTAGATGCAAGAATGGATTATTTAAAGGCGAAAGAGCATGGGAGTTTTCAGTCCTGAACTTGGAATTTGAAATGTGATGTGTTTTACTAACAAGGCCTTCGTCTCTACCCGCCACGCCCCGAAGTGGAACGTTTAGGATCCGTGGTTACTTGTGTACTATGCCTTTGTTAGAAGTCACGATATAGTTAGAAGTAGAACACAACTGTGTCCGTTGGTGTTTGTTGTAATAGCCTTAGGCTTTTCGTGTAAATAGTGTGGGAAATAAGTACCTAAAACAAATATAAATGGTGAGGGAGAGTCCTGTGTATCTCTGTCTTATTCTCTTTACGATTGGGGAGAAGAAGGTGGGAATCGTGTTTTTGTCCATGAGAGAAAAATAAAGACATAAAAAGGGAACAGTAAGGAAAAGTGTAATCAAAAAGCAAGTGAAAGACACTGAGAATTTAGCAGACTACAGTAGCGGGTGTATGTTAGACGTGGTATGAAGTGCTCAACGTCGGCAAAGTGCCTCTCGATTCTGTACTGACCTTTTCACTCTAGACTCACAACACACTTCCTCCAGTAACAGTTGTTGGTACAAGAGTCTCACTGGGGGTCGTGAAGAGCCAGGATTTGGGAAGTGGAATCGACAGACTCTTGAACCCTGTTTAGCTTTCTAAAGAGTTCTATTCGGTTGAGGACTTATTTTAATGTTCCACGTATAAAATGTCAAAGAATTAATTTGGTCTGGTAGATTTTAGACTGGTGTTGACTTTGAAATCAGCTCTCATGTTAATTTACCCTGATGTTTTATTTTCCTTAAGACATTAAAAAACTTTGTTTTCATATCTTTTAGCTCCTTATAGCATAGTATGATTGTAAATGGTACCTTTAGAAGGTTGTAAACAGTAATGTCTGATTTGTTCTCATTTTCAACTATAGGTTTCAAGAAATTATACATAAATCAAAATATGGCATACAAACCAATAACAAAGTTCAAGTGTAGCTTAGTTGTCTTAACTGCTGGATTCAGAGCTCAAGCAGCAATTCATTAATCATTTCTGAGCACAAGGAGCTTGAACTATTGAACTTCTTTGGGCAAGTTCAGACGTGACTGTTTAAGAGATTCGTGAACATTGAAGCAATGATTTTTTGTTTTGTTATTTTTAAATGAAAGGTTAACTTAGGTAAAGAGACGTTGAAGGCCCATGCGAAGTTAAAGAGCACACTGTTTTCCTACTTGAGTTTTTAAGCATTTCTACATTTTCATGTAGTATGTAAAGTCTTGGAAACTGAGTTATTTGTACTATGGATGAAGTGTTTGAGAATATGTTTTTCCTGGTTTAAAATGTCAAACGAAAAAAAAAAAAAAAACTTAAGTTAACTTTGTGACTAAAAATGCAGGCCTTAAAGAAAGATCTGCTTCAAAGCCAACAGTCCCACCGGAAGAAGCTGAGCCATACCCTTGGCTGGGGGAGCAGGTTTCCGAGGGTTCAGGTAAGCTCACCTCTACATCTGACCCGATGGGCCTCGGCCTGCCAGGTGTCCAGCGTGCAGTTTCCAGAATCGTTTTACCCATAATTTGTGTCACAGTGTTTATGCAATAATGAAGTACTTTTTCTTCTTCTCTTCTGAGATTTTGCAGTAAACTTAATGTTTTCTACTAAAATACTCAGGACAATTTTAATTTTTGAGATCAAGAATCCAAGGCCCAGATGGGTGCTTTTTGCCTGAGATGGCACAGTTCAGAACATCCTGAACTAAATGCTAGGTTTCTTGATTCCAGTTCCAGAACTTCTTACAATGAAAGTACCATTAGATGTGTAGTGTTACACGAGTTTTGTTGTTTGTCACATGGTCTAGTAGAAGAGGCCTATGGGCTCCATTCTTTGTAAGACGGGAGTCTCCTTTCTACATCAGAGACTTCCCAGACCTCCATACGATGGTGTGTGAGGCCTGTTTTACATCCACATGAACTCACAGATTAATTTAAATACCTTCTTAAGTCACCCAAGCACCTATGACCCACAGAATGAAAACCCCTAATATCTGTGAATCAATTGGCAAATGAAATTTGAATCCATTACTAGCATTTCCTGTTTATGCTGTGATATTGATTACAAAATTTGCGCATTTTCTGTTTACCTAATAATTCTCCAAAATTTGGTTTCATTTCGCCACCTACTGGAAGTGTTCGGTATGACACTCCATGTTTACTGGCAACTGAAGTGCTGTGGCTGATTTTATCACCGCGGATGAGTAACGTGTGATTTTCTCTTCTCCCTTTTAAGATCAGTATGCTTCTCTGATTTTTTTTTATTTGTTCAAATCATAATTCCAGGAGAATTTACTGCCTCTCTCCCATTTCTTTAGAAGTACTGCAATCCTACCCTAGCTCTGGAGCAAAAGTGCTAATTTAAATGTCTTTGGGTTTAGCATCTCAAACATTACTTTGTACTCAATAAAGTTATACTTTAAAAATCATGCTTCTTAAAGGTAATACCTACTCTGAAATGTGCTATTTCTTTCTGCTTTCTCCTTTCCTTTAAAGTTTATTTATTTATTGGGAAAGGGAACGTGAGTGGGGAAGGGGCATAGAGAGAGAGAGGGAGAGAAAATCCCAAGCAGGCTCTGCACTGTCAGCACAGAGCCCGATGTGGGGCTGGAACTCACGACCTGGGAGATCATGACCTGAGCTGAAACCAAGAGTCAGACACTTAACCAACTGAGCCGCCCAGATGCCCCTCCTTTTAAAATTTTTGTTAACGTTACTCTATGTGGAGAGAGAGAGAGAGACTGTGTGTGTGTGTGTGTACACGCATGTATAAATATATATTATCTGACCAGTTGTCCTAAATCCATCAGTTTTCAGCTCATAATCCTTTTCAACTTCTTGGCAGTGTTTGGTTTAGTTTAAATGTTGCCTTCTCAACCTTTCTCTTATCTAGGTTTTTGGCTTCTTTCTCTTCTATGTCTACCTCTTCTACAGATATAAGTACATGCTTCTCATTAAAACCCAATAAAATAAACCCCCTCTCGATCTCTACAGTACTTTCTATCTGGCCTCCGGTCCGTGTTCTTGCCGTACTAGCCAGATTTTTGGAAAAAGAATCTACAGTTGCTTTCTTTGCCTTACTTTCCACTCAGTTTTTAGTTCACTGTAATCTAGCTTCTGCCTCTACTAATCCTCCCAGAGGAAAGCAGGAGCCTCACGGAATCATGGAAAGATGAAACAGCCTGGTGCACTCACCAAGTTCAAAGCCAGTGCTGGTAGCTGGTGATTCTGGGGAGGCATGTGAGAGCTGAATTGCGGAGATCTTGTATTCTGTTCCAAGGAGTTAGATTTTCATCTGTTTGGGCAGAGGAAGCCACTAAAGGGTTAAGCGAAGGAACAGGGCACTATAGTCCACTTCTGTTACTAATATTATATTCTATGTGGATGCTGCTGTCAGCAGTTATAAAACCGGGAATTGGTTAGGAAGCTGTCATGGGTACTGTGAGAGGTGAGGGGGGAGAAATAGAGATTGGCAGGCCCTTCTGTAATTCTATGCAAATGTGTACACAAATGCTTTGTGACATACAAACGTCTATAAAAGTAGGAGGTACTTCTTGTGCTTCAGGAATGGTTTACAAAACCAGTGTGATTAGCATAGTAGGTTGTTAAACTTTTTTCCTACCTGACGTTCAAATGAGCTTACTCTGTTTTTGTCATTGAGGATTAACTTGTCAGTATAACCGCTGTGGTTGGCATTATTTCACGTGACAGAGTTTGTGATGCCACGTCTCGCCAACTTCAGTTTTCTGAACATGGATGTTTGTTACACAGAAAATTTATAATAGTGTCAGTGTCGTTATGGCTTCTTGTGTGTGATGTTGTAATAAACCTGATAATCCAGTACGTGCCGTGGTGTTGTCAGAACGTCGTTACTGATATTGTTCATTTTTGTAATTTCTGTCTGTTTGCATCTGTGGATCTGACTGTCAGATGGGCTTCTCCAGAGCTGCAAGGATTATCAGTTACAACGTTGGGTCTTCCTTCAGCTTTGGGGAGTGGTCAGCCAACCCTGCCCCTCTCCGCCCTCATACCAGCCTGGGGCCTCACTTGTCAGGGCAGACGGTGGCCGACCATGTACTTCAATGCGTGGTGACCTCGTCTTCCCCATTTGCATCTTTATTTCCCAGAACTCCCCCCCCCCCTTTCTGAAAGCTTTGCCCATCCCATTTTCTTCATTTTATCATTACTGTGAATTTTGTTAGTTAGAAACTGAAGGAATTCTGCGTGGGGAGGTTTTTGTTTAACATTTATATCTGCTGCCAAAATGAAACCAATCTTACATATTTACCACGTTTGCCAACATGGAGAAAAAAGTGGTAAACTGATACAGAAAGTTAGCATAGTTGATTAACCAAATATCTTCAACTGCATGTGTCTACATGGATGTCATGTTTCACGTTCTTCATTCATGTCTAGAGTTTTTCTCCTGAGTTATGTTTTGTAATCATTTCAGGACCTCAGAATATTGACGATGAAGTACAAGAACAAATTCAGTCCCTTCACCATGAGGCAGTGTATACAGAACATGGTATGAATTAAAATCTGTTTTCTCATGAATTGCTTGCTGACATAATGGTTAATTCCATAGGTGACTTGGACTTTATTTTTAAATGTGAATAAGTGAGTGTTTTTTTTTAATTACTAGAGGGCAAGTTGTTTTTAAATGTTTTATTTATTTTTGAGAGAGAGAGGGACACTGTGAGTGGGGAGGGGCAGAGAGCGAGGGGGACACAGAATCCGAAGCAGGCTCCAGCTCTGGGTTGTTACCACAGAGCCCAGTGTGGGGCTCGAACTCCTGAACCCTGAGATCACGACCTGAGCAGAAGTCGGATGCTTAACTGACTGAGCCACCCACCCGCCCCAAGGGCAGGTATTTCTGAAAGAGCACGAGACTCATTTTATTTTACCTCGCCTTACTGTTAAGAAACGTACTGCATAGATTTTAGTAAGGAAATGGTAGGGATAAATGAGACTAAACAAGCCCAGACCAGTGAGACATCAAGAACAGATGGCAGGAACGGGGAGGAGGAAAGTGGAACAGAACCACGCAGGCGGTAATGGGCTATCTGGGTGCTGCCGTCAGCCTAACTGCTGCACGCTTGGGTGGTCGCCAAAGCAAAAGGAGAAACTTTTTAATTATATGCGTCATATTTCCAGAGAGGAAACGAACACGCCATCTACTTAGAGGATACCAAGCGGTATCCTAGCTCTTACATCTCAGACATTTCTTAGGTGCAGTCCTGTACAGAGAATACTAAATGATACTCTCGAAACCCATGTTTTAAGATTTTATGAGACCGTTTCTTGAAACATCCCTTGATAAAAGCAGAAAGGAGAACCCCAAGATGTAACTCACGAAGGGGTTTCCAAGAAGACAGAACACATGGTATCCCGATACGGCTAATGGTTTGGTGTGAGCTGAAGAGAGTCCTGAAGGAAAAAACTATGTTTCTTGAAAACAAATGGGGTCCTCTATCATTGAAACTCTGCTTTAGCACCTCTGCTAAACTGTCTTAGTCAGTCTTAGGTGTTTGGGGTTCCACGTAAAGCAGCCCATCCGGTTCCGTCTGTGCTCTGCTGGGGAGATGAGCTTTGGCTCAGTTGTGTAGGTTTTTGCCCCTTGGCTGTTCGAGGTCTAGGAGCCTGTGTCCTTTCATTAGGAGGTTCTCTCGGCTCGGAGGGTTGCTTTACCCGAGCATGCACCTGCCTCTATCAGCACACACAAGCTTTCCCTTCCTGTGTCTTTTTTTTTTTTTTTTAATTTTAACCTAACCTAAGGATGATGGTCTAAATAAATAAGTGACTTCCGTCTGATGAGGTAAGTGCTGTAATGGTGAAATGTAAGTGGCTCTGTGCACCTTGCCTAGACTTTGGGGTTAGCAAAGGCTTCTTAGAAGAAGTGACATTCTGACTTAGTAGCTGGAGGATGGAGAGCATAGGGCTTCGCCAGGCGGTGTGTAGGGCTAAGCGATGGGCGTGGCATGTATGAAAGTCCAGAGGAAAAGAGGATCCCAGAGTAGTTCAGGGTGGCTGGCACATGGAGTTACATAGGTAGAGAGCGACTGAGAAAGGGTGTTTGCACTTGATTTGGAGAGTAATTGAACATTGGAGGGTGTCATGCTTCTGTCTGCAGTGTGAGCACACGTGGAGGGAGCGTGCCGGGGGTGGGGGGTGGGGGGTGATGAGATGGCAGGCTGCACTGGGGATCCAAGGGGCTCAAGATGGTCACTCAAACCAAATTTAGCCACAGCTGGGGAGAGAGAAGTGTGGGCAGACACAGTAGACATTTAGGCAGGTGGGTGTAGGAAGCCAGACAGAAGGGGAGCAGTCAAGTCTCCCGTGCCTGGGTTTCTGGCCCCAAGCCTTCCTCTTGGACTTATTCTCTTCTTTATTTAGGAATTCACAGAGGCCGTGGCCGTACATGTTTTTTGTGTTGTTTCTGAGCCTTTGTGTACAGCCCTGTCTCTCCTCTGAGCTCCCGGTTTATCATATCCATTTGCATGTTTTATGGGTGTCTCAGACTCAAAACGTACCTAAGACAGAATTCTCGGTTCCTTTACATTTCATAGTTCTCCCCTCACTGCCCCCCAGATTTCGCTTTTCTTCCACTCTTGTGTATTTTAGGTAATGGTCTCCCCTCCCCTTAGTAGCTTCAGCTAAAAACCGGGGTGTTTCCTTGTTTTCTGTCTCCTCTTCTCGCCTCCTGTGTAAGCCCTGGGCAGGTCCTGCAGGCTTTGCCTCCAGCACGTATCTGGACTGCAGTGTGTCAGCGTCACCGTCCCCTCCTGCGTGACTGCTGCGGTAGCATCCAGTTGGGGCTGTGTTTGGTGTGTGTGTGATGTGCCTTGTGTGGCCTGGTCTTTTTCTCCCCTCAGTTGCTTTTCTTGAGCCCAGACGACCTTCCCTCCTTTCCTTGGCATTCTCAAGTCTGTCCCTGCTTCGGAGCCTTGGTACTTACATCTTTTACTGGCACGTGTGTGTTCCAGTCTTCACATCGTGTCCGACCAAACGTGGCCTCCCTGACCACCTTCTTTGCAGTGGACTCTCTGTCCACAATATTCTGTATTTCATTGTTGTGTTTCAGATCCTGCAGCTGCCATTTACTAGCTGTGTGGCTGTAGCCAAGTTTCTCGTCCTTCAAAGTGGGATATTAGTACCTAACGGCTGCAGAGGGCAGTGCCTCAACTGTAGCCAGCCTTCAGGGAACTGTTTTCCTCATACCAGGCTGTCACTGTGTGCTGTTTACTGGGTTTCCCTACTGAAAATGGGGACTTTCCATTAAGCAGCGGTGACTGAGAGAGCTAAATCCTGCTCACGTAAAAACCATGCAGTTGCACTGGGCGACATAAGAGTGAGGAAAAAACAATGTGCTCAGACAGAATACGGAAAAAGGAATATGGTAAAGTCAGTGACAGGAATTGGAATGGGTGATTGGTGTGTGGCAGAAAATTGAAATGAGGAGAACAATGTAGCAGGCTGGGATGGAAATACAGAAAGCACGTAGTGTGGACATACATGGGCCCACGTAGTTCAGTGACACTTGAGAGCATTGCCGGGTCATACTGAAAGTGAAGGAAGGAAGCCCTCCTTCCTGCAGTGTTTGAGGAGACCTCAGTGGCAGCAGAAATAGTAATATTATTACAATGATGATGATAAAAATAATGATGCAACAAGAACAATAACACCTAAATGCTTATTATGGGCTAGGCAGTTTTCTAAGTGCTTGAGTCCTCATGACGGTGTTACATGTAGGTATTATTATTTCCTTTTCATAGAAACAAACCCTGAGGCACAGAGTAGGTAAGGAACTTCTCCGGGGTCGCACAGCTGGTGTGGCAAAACTAAATCTGGACTCATATATTCCGGACCTCACACTCCTAACCACTGTACTGCCCTGCCCAGCTAAGTCGCTTGAGTTGTTTGCTTAGAGCGTTATGTACAGGACGTTCTGTGCTTGAAGCCCTGTCAAGTTACCGTTGGGGGAATTTCTTATACCATACTGACAAGCTAAACCACATTGCAGCAGGATAATGTAGCATATCCAATATCTACACAAAAGAAGCAGAACAGTTCAGTGTGTCATCAAAGTCTCAGAAGAGAAAAATGGGCATTTCTGCATAACTTACAGGCTAAACATAGTAATCTTTAGATGCAAAGTATAATACAGGTGACCTAACACGGATGACCTGGCATACGGTTTAGAGAGGTGTCTAGCTGTTCTTTGCAATAGAATATTTGTATGTAGTTAGTTAAGATTGTTACATGGAGTTTTATGCCATTTCTCAATGAGAGAGGTCACAGGGTGACCTTTTCTCTAACCTAGTGATAAATGAAGAGGCAGATATATTAATAATTGTGAATTCATTTATTCAGTCATTAAATATTTACTGAGCATTTCCCATGGCTAGGCATAGGCCCTGGATGCTGGGCATACATAGTAAATAAAATAGAGGAGGTCTCTGTGCTTGGTGAGCTCATGTTCCAGTGAGAGCAAGGTCTGTCCCCCACTCAGGTGGACGAGCACTTGACCGGAGTGAGAACAGAGCTTCAGAGTGCGCAACAGCATGTGCCGTGGACCAGACGGGGGCTAGGGAGTACCCGGCAGCAGGAGGGGGCATGTGTCTGTGTCAGCTGCTGCCTGTGGACCCTCGTGGCGGACCCGTGACACTTTGTTCATTATCATTGTTCAAGGAGACGATGTGCAGCAAGAAGAGGAGGGACCAACCAGAAAACCACCGCTGGAAGATGATGATTTCCTTATAGGAAGTGACGCAGATGATAGATTTGAGCCTCTGGACGCTGGAGCATTTCATGAAGGTAGAACACAAGTCTCTGGTTTCAGAGCAAAACACGATAGGCAATTTTCATTATGATTATTGAAGTTTTCATGAGTATCTTTAGTTTTTTATTATGATTTTTTTTAACATTTATTTATTATTGAGAGACAGAGACAGAGCATGAGTCGGGGAGGGGCAGAGAGAGAGGGAGACACAGAATCCGACGCAGGCTCTGGGCTCTGAGCTGTCAGCACAGAGCCTGACGTGGGTCTCAAACCACAGACTGAGAGATCATGACCTGAGCTAGGGTCGGACACTCAACCGACTGAGCCACCCAGGCACCCCTTCATGAATATCTTTAAAACAAATACTTAATTTTGATCTGGTTTGTATATATACACATACATATACAT